CCCCCCGGAAACTGCCTTCAAAGATAACCCCCAGTTATTGACTTTTAAATTCCAAGCCTCAGGGAAAACTAATGCTGGTCTCAGAAAACTCAGAACAAAGACAGCAGACTCGCGTGCGACCGCGGAGCACTCTCCAACAGCCAGGAGCGAGGGGCCCTTGTCGAGTCTGTCTGGGGTGTGCGCTCTTCCTGCCCGCCCCAAACCACAAAGTGGATGAATACGCCACTAGGAGTCAAAGGGGAAAAAGACAGAATTCAAGCATCCGCATCCCCCTTCTTAGGATAATCACAAATTCAATTTCCCGTAAGTTCTACTCAACCAAAGAAAACAGCTCCCAGGATAAATGTCCATCTTTAAGAAAACAACAAGTACAGAAAGAAAGTGGGAAAAGGAAAGAAAAAAAAAAAGGTGAAGGAGGGCGAATCTGGGTGGGTGGTTCCTTCTTGAACTGTCTTTTCAGTACTAACAGGACAAATTCTGCCAACCTCCACATCCCTGATACTGAGGCAGAACCAGCCCAGTTCTGTGTGTGGTTTGTATTCACAGCTCTCATTGTGTTTTGTGCTCTTTCTTATCACAGCACTAAGCAGCCTGTTTTTCTGTATTCCTTCTCCACAGGACTGTCTTGTTCCTCTTGAACTTCCAGCCCTGAGGAGCTGCCCAGCAGCCATCTTGCCGTCTGCCCACATGAAGCCAGCACGGAGGAAAGCATGAACAAGACAGGTGACAGGTCTCAGATGAAGTAGTGTGAGTGCCACCCGGCCACATGTGAAGATCTGCCCCATTCCAATGTATGAGCCAATAAATTCCCCCTTTCTCAACCTTCCTTTTGCCCTCCCTCCTCCCTCCCTTCCTTCCTTAAGTTGGTTTGAGTATTTCTGCTGCTTGTAACCAAAAGAGCCCTGAATGATTTAAAAAGTGACTTGGAGAAGTCATTTAGAGGGAGAGTGGGTTGGGAGGCAAACAGGACACAGAGAAGTGTTTTCCTCTGCTGGCCACATATACTGAGCCCGAGAGGGTGCGAGGCCCAAATCCACCAGGGAGACAGACTTGCCCCACATAAGTGAGCCACTGGGAAGGGCATTGCTACGACTGAATGTTCATGTCCCCCCCAAAATTCATGTGTTAAAACCTAACCATAGGATTTGGAGGTACAGTCTCTGGAGGTAAACACATCCCCTAGTGATGGGATTAGCACCTTTATAAAAGAGATGCCAGAGAGCTCCCTTGCCCCTCCCACCAGGCGACACTATAGTAAGGAGACTGCTGTTAACCAGGAAGGGGGACCCTCCCCAGACACTGAATCTGCCAGTGATGTTGATGTTAGACTTGATGTTAGATGTTAGGCTTCCAGCCTCGAGAACTGTGAGAAATAAGTTTCTGTTGTTTATTCAGCACCCTGTCCATCATATTTTGTCACGGCAGCCCAAACAGACCCAGACAGACATGCTGTCACCTGGGAGTCCAGTGGTCTGGAAATGGGAGAAGGCCGTGGTTGCTGAGCCACTGGCTGTCCTGTCCCCTCAGTCCCCCTTCTTGGCATGAAGCCATTAGTCCTAGCCCCCCGCACTGCCAAAGCCCAGCCTACCTTGGTGATCGAAGGATTTCCACAAAATGGGAAAAGAGGGAGAGCTCCAGGTTGTCTGCAGAATTCATCCAGAGCTGGGGACAACAAACACACAGTGAAACCACGATGTGTGTGAAGAAGGGATTCCAGGCAGTGTAAGCAGGTACAGAGCTGCTTAGGCAAGCTCCTTAGGCTTGAAATTCACTAACACAATTTAGCTGTTCAAGAATCTGACCCGATCTCCCGACACCTAGAACTTAGAGGGTGCCTGCCCCGGGGGGAAGCTCAGACGCCATTCCTCTCCGCCCCATCTTTGCTGCTGCCCAGTGCTTCCGTGTGAGTCTAGATTTGAACCAAGGACACTCGCCCTCACCTCCATCTGGCCCTCAGCCCTGCTGCCCGTGTAGCCGTACCCCAAATGCAGTTCATCCTCACTGGAGCCTACAAGGCAAATACCAGTCTTCCCAAGTTAGAGATGAGAAAATAGAGGCTGAGACAGACCAGTTGAGTGACAGGCCCCACTCACCACTGGCAAGTGGTAGGACTGGAGTTAGAAGCTGAGTCTTGGCTGTCTGGGTTTATGCTCCCGCGACCACGCACCCAACTTGTGCATGCATCAGTTTCTTCACTTCTTTCCTCCATAAATCCTGCAGCACCGCCCACACCTTCCCTTATACAGCTGCTCTGCGAGCTGTGCACAGAGGGGAGATGCACTGTGATTCTGAGAGTGAACTTTATCACTCAGGTCGTTATCATTCACAGTAAACAAAATACAGCGGCTAACCATCCTTCTGGGGCACAGTTGAAGGCACGCCTTCATGTCTCATGCCTATTTCCTTTCAGAGAGCTTGACTATTTCTTACTTCTAAATACTGACATTTCCTAAGGCCCAGAATTAAAAAGGTTCCGACACGGGATTGCAAGAGTGCAATCATAGAGCAGCAAAGAAAGCTCACGCTTCTAAATGAGGCCATGTTCTAGAGGCAAGAAGTGCCCTGTAAGTCCTAAAACGATATCATTATCTGCATTTAGTAGCTAAGAAGAGTGAAGACTCAGAGAGACTAAGTAACTTGCCTGGCGCCCCACGGTTTCTAATTGGCAGAGGCTGGCTTCAAAGCCTGGTCTGTCTGACCATGGAGCCCATTCTCTTGTCTCTCCCCTGTGCTCCCCCCAGGCATCTCCTGCAGACAGTGACCCCTAGGGTCAATAATCGACCTCACTTGAATCAAGCAGGTGGCCATGGCTCCATCCTCTTACTTAAGAGTGAAAGCAAAAGAGCCTCAGAGGACCCAAGTTTATGAGGGGGCCCATGGAGGCAGAGACCACCCCTCTCCAGTCCCCAGGGCCCAGGACCACACATGCCACATAATGGGCACTTAATAAGGACCCATTAAATGTTTTAAAAGAGTGAATGCAAAGTAAATCAAGGTAAAATAAGTGGATTGCTCTTAAGCCAGAAACACTAACAGACTTCCAGCCCCTGTTTCACAGTCACTACCCGGAACACACAGAGGAGGGCAGCTGCCATTTTGGAGAGCTGGTGTGGGCTGACGTGTCCCCAGTAGGGGTGGCGGTAGGCAGGCATGGCACCCCAACGTGCAAGTCTGGAGGAGTCCAAGAGCCTAAACACGTGGAATAGTCACTCGTGAAGGCAGTCACTGAACAAATGCTATGCCAGCGTCAGTGCCGGGAGCCGGGAGAACCGAGAAAGTCAAAGACTGAACCTAACAATCTTGTGTGTTCCTGAGCCCTTACCTTTCCCACAGAAGCATATCCCTGTTTCTGTTCCAGAGCACTGACAGTAAGAAGCTGCCATTGGAGGCTGCCTAGCTCTTTAGAAATTACATAATACCAACTACCTGAATTTTGGGAAACATGGATAATTGAACCTTTTGGTTGTTATCCTGTGTCACATAACCCCTGTACTAAGGACAGCACTGAGATGTCTGGATTAGATTTCTTTGAACATCAGATGGAGACCATGTCAAATTCTGCCCTCTCCCCAACCCCTGGGACCATCTCACTCTCAGAATGAGCTGGCCTGTCCCTTTTTCAAGGAACCCAAAACCTCAACCTCCTGTCCCTCCACTGCTTCTCGACTTCCTGTCTCGCTCCTCCCTCTCAACTAGCTGCCTCAATCATTATGCATGGATCCCACACTTTCTCTTGTAACCCACTCTCTTGTCTCTAAACCTTCCCTCTCCTTTAAGGACTTGTCCCATCAATAGCGACACTCTCACTGGTATTTTTAACCATCCTTTTCCACTGCTTCCTCCTCCTCAGCCTACAACCACACTCAAGTCCCTTAAGTCTTGAAATTTCCTTCTACTCTCTTTTCCTTTTCTTCTATCTTGACTTCTACGGTGCTCTCCTCACCTCGTTTCTGACCCTACAATTTACCTTTCACCAGGCCTGTCAGTGACCCCCAGGTGACCTCCAAGTGACTTCCAAATTTTACATAATCTTACAAATTACAAAATCTACGACTTACACATCCTCACTCTTACTTTACTTGATGTAGGCAGACATTTGTGAAAGACCTCTTCTTTTTGAAATTCCCTCCTAATCTTAAAATGTTACTTCGTTTCTTATTTATTTATTTATTTATTTGTTTGTTTGTTTATTTATTTATTTTAGCTTCTAGTTGTTATGGGTTGCTTGTGTTCTTAACTCCAGCTTTAAAAGCACCAGCTTATCTAAGAGTTTACTCAGGGAGGGGTGGGATGGACCTCAAGGTCATTCCAGGAGCAGACAGTGGGGGGTGGTGGGTTCCTCCATTGGAAATTTCTGGGCGGGGCTGCTGACTGAGATGCTTTGGAGCCAAGCTGCCAGAGCACAGCCACGGCACTCTAGAACGTACAGATGTGCAGCCAAGGCATGCTGGCTTGTTTATCAGTATAGTGAGGTCATTTGTGCATATCTCCTTTCCTTTTGTGCACAGGGAGCCTATATTCCATGTCTGGCTGGCTTCCTGTACAACCCTTTCATCCATCTTCAGAAGCAGATCCAGGGCCCAATTCAATTAGCTAATATTTTATTTAGGATTTTTTTAGCTATATTTATGAATAAGATTGGCCTGGACTTTTTCATTTCCCATACTGTCTTTTTTCGGTTCTGCATTCAAGATTAGCTCATAAAATAAGCTGGGAGTGCTCCCTTTCCAGTTTCTTGGAAGAGTTTAAAAGGTTGGAATGGCCTGTTTGCTGACAGGTAGAACTTCCCTATAGAAACCCTGAGCCTGGACTTGCCTTGTGGATGTTGTTGGCTTGTAAGATTTTAAACGCGTGATTCTATTATTTGATGGTTACAGGACCCTTTGAGTTTTTACCTCTTTTTGAGTGAATTTTGAAAACAAATTTTCTTTGGAGATTGTTCAAATGAGCTAAGTGTTCACATTTATTGGCACAAAGTTGCTAATCCTATTTTTGCTACCTTTCTAATTGCACATTCCTCCGTGGTTATTCTTCCTTTCCTTCCTAATATTACTTCGTTGTGCCTCTCATTTTCCCCCCGTCCCCCACCTTGGCCAATCTCAACAAGTTTGTCTGTGTTATGAGAACCAGTTATTGGCCTTGCTGACATTTCTATGTTCATTTCCTTCCTACTTAATTAATGTTCTCATCTCTTTTTTCCTTCCTTCTTCCTCTGAATTTTGTTTTTGTTTGTTTTGTTTGTTTGTTTGTTTAGGGTTTTTGTGTTTTTCTTTTTGTTTGGTCATCCTATCTTCTTGATCTAAAGGTTCTGTTCATTACTTTCAAGTGTTCTTTTGTCCAATATATACATTGACGTTTATAATTTTTTCTCCAAGTCCAGCTTTCACCAGCCCCCCACAATGCACAGTACTTTTTTATACTGTGTTATACACAGTATTCCTTCCATTCAGCTCTATACCACTTCTAATATGAATGAGGAGCCTCATTAATCCTCCTCCGTATCCCACTGCCTTTGCCAAAATTTAGGTTTCAAAATTTTTCACCTGGATTTCTGTAGCAATCTCATGACCCACTCTCCCTGCCTGGGGCTCCTGCCACCAGAGTAATAGGCTTAAAATAAAACTCTGTCGTGTGGTATTTTAGTTAACATCCTTGGATATCAGCAATTTAGCAAAACATATCAATAGTCTGAAAATTGCTTATAAAGCCTAATAATTCAACTTTGATCATTTACTCAAAGGAAATAGTTTTTAAACCAAGGGAACTGTGTGCACAAAAGTGCCATCTATAGTGACATTTATTCATATACGAATAACATAGCAGAATAATCTAAGACTTTGACAATAGGGGGATAGTGAAGAAACCAGGAATTTCCTATAAGACAGATACTATTCTGATTCAGAACAATACTTGCAAAAGTACAAAATAAATGTTTTTAAATGTGAAGTTCACATCTTTAACAGGCATTATTGGTGAGGGTCATTGAAGGAGTAATGATGGAGAGTTGAAAAGTGTTGCTAAAGCATAGGGCTTGCTGGGAGCCTATGAGACTACGAAAGGGGCATGACGTGAGGGAGCGGACCTCGAGTTCTTGACTGGATGGGTCTCAGAAATATTCTTTTGGACTTTCAGTGACTGGGTGTGCAGCAATGCAGCACAGGTCGTAGGGGACTTCCTAGCACTAGTGTGCCTCTAATTTTATTTCCTGGCTCCTCATATGTTCCTCATCTTCCTTTCTCAAGACCTATTTCCTCCTCATTTGCCTGTCTGTGGCCCAGGGCTTATGTCTTTGCCACTGTCTGGTTCTTAGAGTCCCAGACTTTGGGAGGTGAGCTATAGGTGGTGTTTTCCCTGTCTCTCCGTCTTGTAATGAGCTGTAATATCTACTCTTAACACAGGATCATTTGGAACAGGAGTTCTGAGGAGGAGAGTGAGGACTGTGCTAGACTTGAATGATGGTGTCTCCTCCAAGGCTGTAGGCTCCAGAGCGTCCTAATATTGTAAAATGTGAAGAGCAGACACGCGGGACATCAGTGTCTTTCCCTTTTCACTGAAAGTGTTTTAACCAAAACAAAAAAAAGGGGGGGGCGGAGTCCATAATAAATGCTTCTAATGTCCATATTATGTGAGGAAAGGCGGGACTTAAAATAATATCTACACTATGATCGTGACTATGATATGAAAATACATGTGTATTGTGCATAGGAAGTACAAAAAAGCAATGCCTTAAAAGTTGGCAAAGGCCATCTGGGTCTCAGAAACAGGAGCTTCCTCCCCCGCCCTACTTCTCTGTAATTTTAAGTATTCTACAATAAGCATATAATTTTTTTAGCTTAAAAATATCCATTTTTAAAATACTTTCACAGACTCCAACACGGATTGGCTAAAGGGCATGTCCTACAGCCTAGCATCTCCAGCCTGTCTTGTCTCCTCCTCCGGCCTCACCTCTCCTTATAACAAATAGCCCTCCAGGGACCCTCCAAGCCACTTGCTTTCAAATCCCCGTGGTTGTTTCTCATCCTTCCTGTGTGCAAATAGTGCCCACTCCACCTGGAACATTCCCCACTGAATGCACTCTGCCAGACTCAGCCCCAGAGTCCCTGAACGGGAAATCTGAATTGGCTGTGCTCTCACCCCACTCCCCAAATGCCCTGTGCCTGTCTCTCCGTGGCACCTAGCACAGCGTAGTGTCAACTTGGTTATGTCCTGGGCCCAAGAGGCTGGATCCTGGTTATCACCACGTCTCCAGGACATGGCTAATGCCTGGCCCCAGTGGGCACTTAGTAAATAGTCTTGTGAATGGAGCAATCCACCCAAAGTTCTGTGCAGTCCTCCTCTGTTAGCCTCAGGCCTACCCTCAGGGTCTCTCAGTCAGCCCTTGCAAGGAACATTTGTCAACAGCAAAGCACCATTCAACGGAACTAGGGGTATATATTTTTTAAACCTACGGTTTTAAGGCCCTTACCCAGATACTATCTGGTTTGACCCCCGCACCAGCCTGTGAGGGAGAGATGACGGTCTCCATTTCACACACTAGAAGACTAGAACTCAGAGAAATCAAGGGACTTGCCCAAGGCTGCACAGCCCATGGGTGGTAGGATTTAATTATAAAAAGGGCCTCTGGGCTCCAAAGCCATTAAGGTTTTCCTTCTCACGACCCTCCTGACTATTGAGGAAGCTGAGCTGCTGAGTTTAGAGGAAGCACCAGACTTTCTTTCCCATCACACACACCCACTCCTTCAGGGCTAATGACCAGTCTCCAGTTTACCTCAAAATTGCAGAGGATGTGTTGAAAGACACCAACATTGGTGACAAGAGAGGAGCCGAAGCCCAGTTCTGCAGTGCCAGCAATGGAGAGGATGAGCTGAAAACTTCGCTGGTTTAGGAGAGAGGTCTTTTTCCTCAGGAGGAAAGCCATTATCTGAACAAGTGAAAACACAAAGCAGTTTCCTCGTGAGTGCATCACTAGAACTCTTTCTCCGTCCCTGCTTGTTCCCACCAGCACGTGTGGTCAACCCAGGCCGAAAGCCCTCTGCTCTCTGGTGCCACCTCCCTCGTCCCCACGATCCCAGAAGAAAAACACACACCAAATTTGTGGCGGCTTCCCCACCGGTGTCCACTTTCCTGTACTCGTGTGACTTGACCTCTCACTAGGGATCCCCTGCTTTTTCCCGAAAATCTCCTCCCGTGTTCGCAGAATGCTACTCTCTCTTGGTTTCCTCCTACATTTCTGAGTGTTCTTTTTCATTTTCCTTTACTGGATCGTGCATTCATAGCCATCCCACAAATGTTGGCGTGTCACCAGGAAGCCACGCCTCCCCATGAGCTCAGCTGCACCATCACTTCAGGCTGCAGCCACCCGATGGACCTTTCTACTTACTGTGCCAGGCCCAGGGAATCAGCCACATGCAAACTTCCGTACGAGGACAGAGGTGATGGGGTCCCTGTGGCCCATACCCACCTCAGAGACTAATGAGATAGATCTTACCTAGACTCGTGTCTCTGTTGACCTCAGTCACACAAAAGTCAGGCTGCCTAGCCATCTCCTGGCATCTGGGTTCTCATCCACAGCTCAGTTCCTAAGCCTGGATCTGACACTGCCCAGCCCTGTCCAGCCAGACATCGTTTCTAAAGGAAGTCTTGCTTGCTGTTCTAAACTGCACATTTGTGTCCTCCCCAAATTCATGTGTTGAAACACTTTCCCACAGTGAAATGTGATCTGGAGGTGGGTCCTACGGGAGGTAATTAGGATTAGAGGGGGTCATGAAGGGGGAGCCTCATGGTGGGATTAGTGCCCTTCGAAGAGTCACAAGAGAGCTTGCCTCCTCTCTCTGATCTTTCCCATGTGAGGATCAAAGAGAAGTTGGCTATCTGCAATCCAGAGGAGGGCCCTCACCCAACCGGACCATGCTGGGACCCTGATCTTGGACTTCCCCAGCCTCCAGAACTGTGAGAAATAACTTTCTGTTGTTTATAAGCCACCCGGTCTGTGATATTCTGTTATAGTAGTCCAGCTGCTAAAGGCAGCTGTGATCAGTGAATACTCAATATCTTTCCAGATTGCTCCAGCCACTTCTTGGATATATCTGAAATCTGACCACTCCCCACTCCCCCACCAAGACATAATTAGGATGGCTGAAGATTGAGAAAAATCACACATGCATGCTGACTGGTTTCGCTTGCAGTCACAGTGTTAAATGCCAAAGTAGCCCTCATTTAGCCTGGTGGCCAACTCTGTTTTTCTAGGAAGCTGGTGTTCTTCATGCCAAAGATGAGAATTTCAACTCTTCTCCTCTTTCCCCAACCCTGTCTGTTGAGAAGACAGAACCCATCAGACATGAACGCTCTCGTCTGCCCACACCAGATCTACAGGGACCTGTGTTGCATCTTTCTGGTCATAAGCAGGGCCTCCATCTGCAGAGCTTCTGGAACCCACCCCTCACCTCCTCAAGAACATGGCTCCATGGGATAGTTCTTCTCTCCTAGCTTCATCCATCTCTTTCCTTTTCTCTTCTGTCACTTCCTCCCATCGACAAAAATTCTGTAGTATTTCTCATCTTAAAAAGAACCCTCTCTTGACTCCTAATCCTTCTAGTTTGAACTCCATTTCTCTACTCCTCTTTGTAGGTAAACTTCCAGAAGGCATTAATAGGCACACTCTGGCCCCATGTCCTCACTTCACCCTCTGTCTTCAACCCTCTTCAAATAGCTACTGCTTCTACCTATCCAATCGTCTTGGAAAGGTCACCAGTGACTTCCAGGTGCCAAATCCAACAGGCACATCTCTGTCCTCATTTGCTTTGTTATTTATCAGCATTTAGTATTGTTTGATCCCACCTGCCTTCTTGAAATACTGCCTTCTTTCAGATTCTTCAACAAAACTTTCTTCAGTTTCTCTCCCCTCTGCTTCTCAATCTCCTTTGTTGGGTTTTGATCATATTTTCAGCCTGTACATGGCTAGATCCTTATTGATTCCTCCTCAGCTCTCCTCTCTTCTCTTTCCTACTCCTTCTCTTTGGCCATTTCTTGAATGCCTTTGTCTGAAATATCATCATGATGGTATTGATGACTCTCACATTTATACCTGCAGCCCAGCTTGCCCCTCTAAGCTCCAGAGTTATCTGTCCCACATGACATTTGACCTTTGATGTCACACAGACATTTCAGATTTAGCATGTCCCAAATATCTTCTTTCCTTCCTGTCTGCAGCACTCTGGACACACAGAACTGCTTTCCAGTGCTATCTGCCCACCCTTCCCACAAAGATCCCAAATCTTTCCAGGCCAGAAATGTAGTCTCATAGCCTGCTGGACTCTCTCTCAGTCCCCTGTTCAAATCTCACCCTTCTGGCCCATCTTCCTTTGTGGTTTCAAAGGTCATTCTAAAGCATGAATCCTTCCATTTCCCTGTTCCAAGCCTTCTTATGATTGCTCATCCCTTCCAAGATAAAATCCACGTCTCTTGGAGTAGCAGAGTTCTGGTCATTGTCTGTCTCTCCATCCAGGTTATTGTGCACAGACCCATCATTGTCCTTCCTCCCCTCCACATGGAGGACACTGACCAGGATCCCTTAAGTGTTTTTTTTTATTTTTTTTAATGTTTATTTATTCCTGAGACAAAGAGAGACAGAGCATGAGTCGGGGAGGGGCAGAGAGAGAGGGAGACACAGAATCCGAAGCAGGCTCCAGGCTCCGAGCTGTCAGCACAGAGCCCAACGTGGGGCTCGAAGCCACAAACCGTGAGATCATGACTTGAGCTGAAGTCGGTCGCTCAACCGACTAAGCCACCCAGGAGCCCCAGGATCCCTTAAGTATTCTTAATGTTAGTCTGGAACACTGTCCTTCTTTACCATGCTATGAAAATCCATCTTATAAAACTTGCCTGGATGCCACCTCATTTGAGAAGAGGATGATACACAAGTTTGGATAGAAATAACATATAGAGAGGTTCATGCTCTCGTGCTCTTAGGTCCAATCAGAAAACCAGCAAATGAATAAAGTAAAAGTCTAAAAGTAATTAAATTTACTCTTAAGCAGGCCATTTAATTGAAGACCCTTGTTTGCATTCACTGAATCATTCCATAAAACCTTGTTGAGTAACTGCTGTGTACCACGTGCTCTTAGGGTGGACAAGCAGACCCGTCCTGCTTTCATGGGACATCTCCCTAGGGGCCTAGGGGGACAAAACAGACCACAAACATGACAAGTATATAGAGATCCTACCAACTGGCCATGCAGGTTATGAAGAAACAGAAAGCAAGAAAAGGTGTCTGGAAAGAGATGGGATAGGATGGAGGGAGATTCTCTTTATAAAGAGTAGTCAGAGAAGGCAAATGATAATAATAACAGTAATCTTGTTGCTTTACTCAAACCTGTCATTTCCCACCTGCCCTACCACTGTCCAGCCCTTCTTTCTGATATGCCCCGAAGACATAAATATTTGCAATATTTCTTTTGTAAAACATGAGAAGCGTTTTAAATTTCCCTCTTCTGTCTTCATTTGTAAAGGTACAATAAATCTGTGAATCTGGTGGGTTCTTACTCAGATAAAGTCTTTGGGAATTTTTGTCTCACAATAATATGCTTTTTTTGTCCACCTTCTTAGACAGTGCTACAGAGTGAATGTTTTTGTTCCCCTCCCAAAAAAGAAAACTTTCATGTGTTGAAACCTAATCCCCAATATGATGGATTAGGAGAGGTGGAGCCCATGAGAGGTGATTTAGTCATGAGGATAGAACCTTTGTGAATGGGACTGGTGCCCTTATAAAAGAGACTGCAGACCCGGGCATCTGGGTGGCTCAGTCAGTTGAGCGTCCAGCTTCAGCTTAGGTCGTGATCTCAAGGTTTGTGTGTCAAGCCCCACGTCGAGCTTGCTGCTGTCAGTCCGGAGCCTGCTTGAATTAAATCACCTCATCCTTCACTACAATCTCATGATATAGGAGGTATGATAGTCTATATCATACAAGTAAGGGAACTGAGGTAGAGAGAGTAAGTAAGTAACTCATCCAAGGTTAAATAGCAAGTTTGAGTAAGAGGTAAGATTCAAACCCAGCACCTGGTTCCTCCACCTGGGCTCCTAGCCATTGTGTTAGGTGCAAAGTGAGTGGACCACAAGTGATTCTTGAATTCAGTGAAAGGTACAGGTATACAGACTAACATCCCTATTCTGATCAGAGCCCTTCTCTGCCTGGCCATTGTTTGGCCTTCTGCTGTGGTGACACTAGTCTCAAGACCCTTCCCTCTTGGCTTCCCTTCTCTAGAAGTTGCCATGGAGGAAAGGTCCACTAAGGCCAGTGAAGCTCTTCCCTGCTCCCTGGGAATGACAGCCTACGTGGGAGGTTAGATTACCTGGTACCCAGAGATGTGCTGCATCAGACGGTCACACATGACATTGCTGGTCAGGACAGAGTGCAGGACTTTCACGGCCGCATACATGGTGTGGTCATCCGTCGCTAAGGAAATGAGGCCCAGGAGGATGGCGGGCCCACCAATGAAGTCCAGACTGCTGGCTGCTGGGATGGAGTGGAACACCCTTACACCTGTGTGGGACAAAGGGGCATTCCATCAATAGATCGCAGCTTCGAGGTTATGGCAAGTCCCCTGGAAGCCTGCAAGGGCAAGAGCTGCCAGTGTCCCTTCACAGCAGAAGGGCTCGTGCACACAGGACAGGCTGGGAGGAAGGATGGGACGTTTGTCAGTCTTAGCTCACTGAGAGATCCTGCACTAAGTTCTTCCTGGGTCACCAGAAGGCTGAAACAGCCCACGGGATTTCAGATCACTGCCTCTGTCTCAGTCCAGTGTGCTGGATGAGTCACATGCCCTCTGAGCCTCAATCCACTGGTTGCTCTGACAACCTGTGGCTTTTGTCTGCTCTCTAGATCCTGCGAGATTGGACCTTCACTAACCCCCTGCTTTGCTCTTGGCAACCAGTAGTAACTGACTATTTTTACCCAAACAACCACAACCATTACTTCTGTCAAAAGACCCCACTGTGCCCACTAGATAGGTTCCATTGTGCATAGATGTCAGACTGGTTAGTAGCTGAGTTCATTAACACCTGCCAGATACAGCAAAGTGAACTGGCTTCTATGTGATGTGGAAGGCCAGCTCTCTGACAGGGCTGACTCTCCAACTCTCACCCTCCCTGGATGGCCACTCAGACTTCTAGGCTGCACGAGCAATGACAGCCACACACCCATCTTCCCAAATAGTAGTAAAAGCTCAAGGCCTGACCTACCTAACTGGCCCACAGCCACAGCTCCAACGGTTCGAAGAGAACCTGACAGGTGCCCAGCACAATTTCTTAGCAAGAACACAGGCATGGCATTGTCACGGGATGAAATGTTCATCTAGAGAAATTGGCAACAATTAGTCCCAAGAAACTTTCCTGAAATGGAAGAGGTTTTGTTCATGAGGTCCTGGAGGGGAGGTACCCGAGACCTGGTCCAGAGTTGGCACTCAGTAAGTGAAGGTCGGTGAATAAATAATAAATGAACCAACGTCAGGGAGACTGAAGCCGAACTTCAGGTTCCCGTGTCCTGCCTCCCAGTTGTGCCTTAATCATGTGGGAGTAGCTTTGGCTATGCTGTTGTGCCAACGATGTCCCACATGTCACAGTAAAGAGCTCATGAGGGCAAGGTGGGCCCAGGGACATGTGGAGGTGGAACAGTGCCACGAAGGCCAGGCTGCCTCCTTCCCAGTCCACATTGTCCAGTCTCGGCCCGCCCTGGCTTCACTAGTCTCAGAGGGCCAGGCGGATGGGAATCTGGGGTACTGTGTGGGGAAGGCACAGCTGTGTGCTCAACAGACCTAATCCCTGATCTCTCCTTTCAGTAAAGGGAGATGGCCTTCTTTCTGTGAGGGTGGAGAGAATGTCAACAAATCAGCTCAAATTTCTCAGCATTAAGCAAAAGAGCGCTCCGTGCAGGCATCAGGAAATAGTTCATCTAATGGCATCTTCATCTACAAACATGTCGGCTTGCTGTTTTGCAAGTTTGCTGTTTAAAATACACAAGGCAACTCACAGAACATTTTGCGGTGTTGGGGGTTGGGGGGCGTGGCCAGTTGCATCCAGAAAAGGGAAGCTCAATCGTGTTTTCAGTGTCACAAACGTTTTTCAAATTCCACTTGTTCCTGCTCTACAGTGAAGAATAAAGACTGCCTACTTTCTTCTCTGAGCAATTATAAACGAAAGGTTCAGTCTCGGGGGATGCTAATGGGTGGAGAGGCATATGATATTTTAAAAAACGAAATGGGAAGCGTGCCTGTGCGTATCTGTCTACACATGCGCCAACACGAATCAGTGTTCACTTAAGCGCTGAAAACTAAAGCAAACCAGGAGATCAGGATTCCAAAAGGGGGCAACAGGTGAAGGCAGAAGTCATACCTCCTTGGCAATCAGGCGGCTGTCCACCTCATTGTAAGTGTTTCTGATGTCCATAACACTGGTGATGGAGGAGCTGGCTATGTGAAGGCCAAAGGAAACCCTTTCCTCTGCAACCAGGGGCGTCGCTTCTGTATCAAGGTCCTCTCCTAAAACAACACATCTTTGATCATCTCTACTCTCACTTTACAGAAAAGAAAGTACAACCTCAGGAAAATAAATACCTATGGCTATCTGGTGAAGTCATCATTGAGGGACTATTTTATGTTGTTACGTTGTATGTTTGCATGTTGTATGTTTATATCACATGTTGGTCCCTACCTGTGCTTCTCTGACACTTATAGAAAACTGTGGACAAATCTCTTAAGATTAACCCTACTATAAAATAGAAGCATTCAAGGTGTGAAATCATCTTGAGCTTGAGACATCTACCAAGGATATGCTATAACCTCACTCCCCAAAACGAAAATGTTAAGTGATAAGAAAGCTGACTTACAAAAAAAAAATGGGGACACCAAGGTGGCTCAGTCGGTTAAGTGTCCAGCTCTTGGTTTTTGGCTCAGGTCATGATCTCACGGTTCATGGGATGGAGCCCTGCATCAGGCTCTGCAGAGCCCGCTTGGGAATCTCTCTTTCCCTTTTCCCTTTCCCCCACTTGCTCTCTCTTTCTCTTTCTATCTCTCAAAATAAATAAATAAATATTTAAAAAGAAAAGAAAAAGAAATCTGCTGGGCTGAAAGCCCTAAAATTTTTGATGAGCTACATGCCGTGGCGAACATTCCACTTGGAATGAGCACCTTGGTCCCTGGGTCAAGGAGAACCACACATGGTCCTAGAGCTGCATGGTCTGAATAACGAGTCAGCAAAATTTTGGCTCTAGACTTGACCTCATCGCATGGCTCTGGCCAGTACCATTTGCCATAGGAAATGGAAGCTTGAAGAAGACATGGGTCCTGGAGACAGAAATGCTCAACAGTGTTCAATCGCCCTTCACAATGCACAAGGCTTCTGTACATAAATTCATTCATCATTCTTCTCAGATGGGAGCTGACCCCTTGACTTAACAGAGCGCAGAGAGCAGTACTCCCTGCTTGAACAGCCAGCAATCAATAATGAAAATGTGGATGTGTTTGTCTGCCTGTTTAATAATTGAAGACAACAGTATGCTTTAGTTAAAAAGCTTCTTCATTAAAAGGAATGCAACTTATTTATCTCATTCTCTCCTCTCTTTCTTTGCTGATGGTATTGCCTACCTATTCTTCTCCATTATGTGCTTCAGAGTTGAAATCCAAAGGATATTGTCATTTCCTTTTCTGTGACATTTTCTGTTGGGTTGTAAATTTATAATGATTCAATTACAGAGGTCTTCCCTAATGACTGACCTACACTGAGTTTATTTTTTATAAATATGCTATAAATAACTGGATGTCCATTTAATAAAACAATATCAGCAAAATCATTATAAATCAAAACACTCCATACCTTGGGCATGCACAGCTTGGAAGTTACCACAGTATCTTGGGCCAAGTTTGTTAATAACTTCCAGAGTATCCACTGAGATGGCTTCTTCAAAGAGGTATGTAGGGCCAAGACGCCATATTAATGATGACTTTTGTTTCCAAACTCGAGGGGTAGAGATATATCCATAAACATCCACAAATGAAGATGGATCCATTGAAAGGAAAGGCCCTGGCAAGGCCTGGATGTACAACATCTGTTAAAATTAAAAGGGAGAAAGGGAGAGATTTAACCTCAGAATTAATCAAATAAACACCTATGGAGATAAAATGATATACCTTCTTCTCTCAAAGTAAAAGCTTATTATATCTACAAGCATTAAAAATCTCACTCTCAAAGCTGAGAAACAGTGCAGGAAAACAGCTTACAAAATGCTGGTGGGAGCAAAAAACTGACACTGTGCTTTTGGAGACAAATTTGATAAGGAATATTAAGAGACACTAAAATGTTTATCTTTTTTGTTCCAGTCATTCCACTAAGAACCCAAATGTCCAGTATTGGCACATTCATTAAGTTTTATGTACTAAAATAATTATAGACATATCCAATTGGAAAGGAAGAAATAAAATTATCTCTATTTGCAGATGACATGTCCATGTGGAAAATTCCAAAGAATCTACAAAAAAAAATGCCTAGAACTAGTAAGTGAGTTCAGCAAGGTCACAGGATAGATTATCGATAAACACACAAAAGTCAATCACATTCTATAGGCCAACAATGAACATGAAGAGACTAAAATTAAAAACACTATCATTTACAACTGCGCAAAAGAAAATGAAATATTTAAGAAAACATGTATGGATTCTATATACTAAAAATTCAAAAAGGATGATGAAAGAAATCAAAGAAGACCTATGTAAATGGAGAGACATACCATGTTTCTGGATAGCAAAACTCAACACAGGGAAGATATCATTTCTCCCCAAAATGATCTATAGATATAATTCAGTTCCCATCAAAATGGCAGAAGGTTTTTTGTAGACACAGACAAGTTAATTCTAAAATTTGTATCTGAAGACACAAGCCCTAGAATAGCTTAAACAAATAGCTTAATTCTTCTTTTTCAAAAATTAACAATGTTTTTGATCATCTTTTTTTGAAAGAGAAAAATTAAGTGGGAGACACCACTCTAACCAATATTATTACACAGGCTAGCTTATTACATAGCTATAATAATTAAGATAGTGTGGTATCAGTAGAGTTCTAGTCACACAGATCAGTAGAACAGAATATAGAATCTGGAAATACACCCAGACAAATGTGCCCAACTGATTTTTGATGAAGTTTCAAAAGCAATTTAATGGAAGAAGGACAGCCTCTTCAACCAATGGTGCTGGAATAACTGGGCATCCATAGGCAAAGAAGTGAACTTCAACCTAAACTTTGCAGTCATAAGAGGAAAATTTGATGAATTCTTCATCAAAATAAAAACTTTTGTTCTGCAAACTCCTATGGGAAAGAAGATGGAAGACGAGCTACAGACTAGGAGAAATTCTTTGCAAATCATACATCGAAGGACTAGTATCTAGAATATATCAAAAACCTCTAAAACCCCAGAGGAAAAAAACAATCCAATTAGAAAATGGACACAGAACATGGGCAGACATCACTTAAGAGGTTACATAAATGGCAAATAAGTGCTTGAGAAGATTTTTAATCTCATTAGCCATGAAAGGAATGCAAATTAAAAACACAACATCACTATGCACCTATCAGAGCGGCTAATCTGAAAACCAGTGACCACTGCAAATACAGAGAAACCAGATTGTTAATCCATTGCTGGTGGTAAATGTAAAATGGTACAGTCACTCTGGGAAAATCATTTGGCCATTTCTTATAAAAAGTAAACACACAATTACCTATGACCCAGCAACTGAACTCTTAGGCATTTATCCCAGAGAAATATGGACTTAAGTTCACACAAGAACCTGTATACAAATCTTCATAGCAAAACAAACAAACAAACAAAGATAAAAAACAAAAAAAGGAAAAAATGTTCATAGCATCATTATTTGTAATATCCCCAAACTGGAAACGGCCCAGATGTCCTTCAATCAGTGAATGGTTATATATCCAGGTCATGAAAAACTACTCAGCAATAAAAAGGAATTAATCATTGGTGCACAGCAACAATCTGGATGAATTTCCAGAGAATTATGTGGATTGAAAAATCCAACCTTGAAAGATCATACACTGTACAGTTTCATAAAAATAATATCCTTGAAATGATAGCATTTTAGATTATTGTTTTCCAAGGTCAGGGACAGGGATAGGGGAGAGAGGTGTGGGTGAATGGGAGTGGCTATAATTTTTATAAATGGGCAACACAAGGGAGCATTGTGGTGATGTAAACATTCTGAATCTTGGCACGAGTCATGGATGCAAAAACCTACACATGTGATAAAACTGTGTGGAACACATACGCATATATACAAGTATAAATAAAACTGGGAAATTTGAATAAAGTAGCAGATTGTATCAATAGCAAAATTGGGTTATGAAATTGTTCTAGAGTTTTGTAAATGCCACCATTAGGGGAAAACTAGGTAAAAGTGCACAGGATTTCAACAACATTTTAGTCTACAATTATCTCAAAAAAATTTCAATAAAAGAAAAGAAAAATAGTTAACAGAGTATCACAAATTTTAAAATGATAATTTCTCATTTTTAAATTTTTTTTCGTCTTTTAGTATTTATTTTTGAGAGAGAAAGAGACAGAACGCGAGTTCGAAGGGGCAGAGAGAGAGGGAGACAAAGATCTAAAGCAGCCTCCAGGCTTTGAGCTGTCAGCACAGAGCCCGACTGACACGGGGCTCAAACTCACAAACAGTGAGATCATGACCTGAGTCAAAGTTAGCTGCTTAACCGGCCAAGCCCCCAGGAACTCCTAAAATGATCATTTCAAAGCTTATGTTGGTAGACTTAACTAATGGTTAAAACTAGCTAAGTAATATACAAAATTTTCCACACAATAAAGTTGCAACTACTTTTTTAAAGGGAAAAAACTGAAAGAAATTACAAACTATGGTAAGATAGAAGGAATGCAGGAAATATTTCATCTTTGCTCTATTTTTTAGTTATTTCAAAATGTGTTTATATTATTTTTTATAATGACTATAAAGTCACCACATCTATGCATATGTATGTAAATACATATTTTTCAAAGGAAAGGTCACACAATTTCAGAAATATTCTTTTACTCCCTATCAATTAAATGAGATTTTCAAACAAAAACAAACCAGGTTTTCAGCCACCAGCCTTGCCTAAAGTGAAGTCCACTGTGCTGTCCTCTCTTCCCTCCTTTCAGATAGGAACTTCTGTCTCTCCCACCTGAAGCTCTGCCCCCCTCCTGCAATCCAGCTTGCATTTTTGCCAAATTCATAGCGCATTTACTCACAGCACCATTCGGATTGATTTATAAACATAAGATGTCTTAAATTGCTCCCACGTCATTTTGCTCGTTCAGGCTATTGAAATACTCCCCACATTTCCAAATTTAACTTAGCTGAACTTAGAAATTAATAGAAAATCTCTAACATTAGAGAACAATCCTTAAGCTGGGTCATCCCCAAACTAAGCTCTCCCATCTTATTCTTATCCAGCATATGTCTGCATCTAAACACAGGCCTTCATGTGTACCCCAGTTAAATTTCATTTGCTGATCCTGAACCAACTTGTTGAGATCATCTTGGAAAGTCAACTCTGTCTGACTCAACCCTTGGTCATTCTCCACGTATTTTTGGCATATCCCCATGATATCACACTACTGCCAACCTCCCTCCTGACTGGCTTTGGTTTAGCTGGTCCCTTGAGGCCAGATGTTCATCCATGTACCAGGTCACTCAACTACACTATCAATCCAGTCCATGTTCCTCCTTGTGGCTTTAAATGCAATGCAATTCATCAAGTATTTATTGCAGGCTTACCATGTGCCTGCCCCTGTGCTAGGTGCGAGCAAACACCAATAGGACTTGCCTTTAGCCTCAAAGTACATGAACTATTTCACAGAATACCAACCTATTCTGTAAAACAAGGCAGAATACCAACATGTTTTGCAAAAAAAAAAAAAAAAGGTTGGGGCGGGGGGAAGCCTCCTCTATAATCATGCCTAAACAGATAATAACAAAGACACTGTGCAGCCACAAAAGTAACCACCCCTCCCATCCTGGCTAACATGAGTTAGCTTTCTCTCCAAGAACAACTCTAACCTGCTCCATTATTCCTACTTCCTGGATACAAGTTCTGAACATGCACGGACATCAAACTAACTCCCTCTTTCTGACGGTACCCGGTTGAGAACAGACCAACCTCCACTTCTTTGAACCCTCCCCAAAATCACCTTAAATAAGCGCAAATCATATATGCTCCTTCCAAGTCCCTGTTACCCCAGGGAGTAGAGTGTCTTGCTACATCAAGCTTAATAAATCTAACTTCTGTTTTGTACTATATGCACACTCCCGAAGGTACTGATTGGTGGTCATGGACAATTCCTGGCATCTAAAACAGTTCCTAACATAGAATACGTGCTCAAAAAGATTTAATAAGGGAAAGAATGAAGGAAAGAAGGAAAGGAAGGAGGGAGGGAGGCAGGGAGGGAGGAATGGAGTGAGGGAGGAAGGAAGGGGAGAAAGGAAGGAAGGAAGGAAAGAAAGAAAGAAAGGCCGGTATTGTCAATGATTGGAGAAAAGAGTTAGCTTCTTGTTTTGAAAAACCTATTTTTGTTATGTTCCTGCTGAATCTTTCTGGTTACCACTGCCTTTATTTGATAAGACAATTGTACCTGACGACAGCATCGAATTCATCTTTAGGTGTTGTATTGAATTTAGGTTGTTCTACCTTCATGATTCTCAACATGGGGTGATTTGGGGGCATTTGGAAATGTCTGGAGACAGTTTTGGCGGCCACAACTGGGGAGAGAGGGATGCGATGGCATCTAGGGAGGCCACAGATGCTGGTAAGTATCATACTATACATAGAATGGGTCCCTACGACAAAGAATTATCGAGCCTCAAATGCCAAACTATCGAAATGAGAAACCTATTCATCTAAGGTCATCCATTCTGGCTAAATGTTAGAATCATCTGAGAGGCTCTGAAAACATCACCAAATTACCCCGCACCCAGAGATTCTGTTATGATTCATCTTAGGAGCAACCTGCACAACAGAACTTTAAAAATACTTTCCAGGTAATTCAAGAATGCAGCCTAGGTTGAGATGCTCTCTCTGGAACCTGGGTGCCACTCTGGCTGCATTTGCCTTTTGTTGTCTTCTGGGCGCTTCTCTCTCTGACTTCTTTGGGGATCTCCGACAGTGGGTCCTGGAGCACACCTGCCATGTCCCTCCTCTCCCAGCTTCCTCTGCCTTATGCCTCAGGACTTCAGGTGACTCTAAATGGCAGTGATGAGATACTTCCTCCAGCTATGTGTTCACATTCCATTGCCTTCTTTGTACAGGGAATCATCTCTTCCTCATCATCCTTGCTGTAAATCTGGCAAGAGGTATTGGTGTCTTTCAAGCTCTAGCGCCTGACTCCCAAGTATGGTGGAAGGACAGTTGTGTTAGATTCACCACCAAGCTTCTTGGAAAAGTAGAACCTGAGACCCCCACGCAGACTTTCCTAGGGAATCCGTAACTTAAACTGTGAAAAGCCTCATTCACTCTGGGAATTTATATTCTCTTATGACTATTCTGATGTCCACATTTCACCTTCTGATCTGGTTGTGTAGCTTTCATTCCATTTTCTGAAGGATTTTTGTTTTATTGTTTCTTTGGGTTTTTCTTATGCATGAGCTCAGCCAAGTGTACTGGACGCCAAAGGTGAGTTTCATTAGATAGTGACCCCGCCCCCTCCCCTCGCCAAATGAAAAGGACCAACTGACCTGAGGCCGCTCCAGAGTGGTGCAGCCAGGAAAGCATTGTGGGGCAAGTGGAGCTCGGGGCAACTAGCTCACCTTGGCTGAGCCAACGATCTGTCCATCCAGATAGGTGGAAACGGTACAATTCCTTTTCATTTCCTTGGTGACAACCACAGCCAGGTGGTGCCACTGACCACAAGCCAGCAGCTGGCCACACCTGACCCGAAGCTGGCGTCCAGCAGAAGGCTCAGGATCATCCTCGGGTTCCATGATGTCTGCAAGAGACCACAAACACCACACCCGGCATGTGGCGCCATGCTGCAGCAACCCAGGAGAACAGGGCCTCATGCGGAGGCCTTGACCCCCTCATAAAATAATGACGACAGCAGCCACAGTTGCTTGAGGTCTTGCCTTGTGCCAGACATGGGTTTAAGAACTGTTAGAAATGTCACTTCGGGTTTTTTGGGGTTATTGTTTTGTTTTGGTTTTCACAGCAAACCCTTGGAGGTAGGTGCTATCACGACTCTCATTCACCAGCCTGAGGCACAGACGGGTTAGGTAAGTTGCCCAGGGTCATGGAGCAAATAGTATTCAAGTCCAGGAGTCAGATTTTGGGGTCTACCCCGCACTAGACCGCCTCTGTAGCCATGCACACTTGCCCTACAGTCCTAAGAAGGAGGGGGGAGTAAGCAGTTGTGCTCTGTGCCCATGATGCCAAGGCACCCCTGGGGTGTCTCCCTATGAAACAGTGACGCTCTTGGGGAACACAAGAAGAACAGGCCATTTCTGGCCATCACAGAGGGATGAGCTTGGACAGCCAGGCTGAGCTCTAAATGGCAGAGCCTGGACCAGCCACCAGCCACCAAAGGAGGGTTGGGCTCCTGGGCTCTTGTGCCAAAAGCTGCTGAATTAGCCCCATTCTCCCCAAGTGTAGGTGAAAACAGCTCCCAACGCCTTACCCAGGGACTGAAATTCTTTCTCTTCTGTAGACACAACTAAGGAGAGGTCGTCCGGGCACAGGCTGACAGAGAAGCAGATGAAGGGTTGCTCAGTCCTGGCCAGGTGACGCACCAAAGTTAGGAAGCGCAGAGGGTGGCCCTCAGTGACTGTGCTGTGCCTGCTGATCAGGAACCAGCAGGAGAAGGTCAGGCCACCAAGTGGAGGGAATGATCTGGCAGCACCTGGAGACAGAACAAGCATGCCCTTAGAACTTCTCTGCCTTGGAATCTTGTCTAGACCCACCGTGGCTCTGAATTGGCCCAGATGTGGCCCTACTGTGTCCAGCTCTGTGCCTCACCTGACTCATGCCCACTTTATGTCGACCCCATGCCGCAGAAGCTTGTCCTCTTTTTCATACTCGCATATTCCCACCAGGACTTGAGTGTAGATCCCCAAAGCCTCTCTCCAATTCTGTCCCACCTATTATTCCATGCCACCTTGCCAAGGGAAGGGGTGCATAACCCTGAGATCAGTCATCATTGGCCCACTGGTCAGCTGATCTAAAGCTGGGCAGTGTGCTGTGAGAGGCAGGGGACACCAGCCTTACTCAGCTGAACCTTGTATGGGGAAGCCTCCACTGTAGGCAAACCCACGCCCTCCTGCCCTGTAACAGGGTTACAGTGCAGAGCAGGCCCACTGTCCTCCGTGAATAAGCAGAATCAGACTTGGTGCCCCATGTTGGGCTGTGAATGCAATGGCTCCTCAGCGCCCACCGTTCCAGAGAAACCCAGGTTCTTCTAACTGAGGCTGCTTAGCTCGGGCGGCACCGGGTTCTTGCCCTGTCCTTCCCAGGCAGTTTTTAGCCGAGCACAGCAGTGCACAAAGCCTGCTAGGGCCCAGGTCGATCAGATGGTCATCCACACAGAACTTATATTCTTCTCTAGAAAGAGTCCTAAGGCGGGGTAAGGTGTTTGTTTTGACTTTTGTCAATCACTGACAAAATGAATCCGACGCAGACTCAGACATCAAATCACCGAATGAGCCCATCAGTGTTCACTGAGTCCCCACTCTATGCAGAGGCATGGGACGGGCCCTTGGGACACATAATAAACAGGATCCTCCCGCCCTAAAACAGGCATGACAAACCGGAAGGATGACTCCTCTACAGATATACAGAAACAACAAAGACTCACACTTTCTTGAAATGCCAAGCGGAATCTGAAATCAAGGCTCCCTAAGCACTTATTCTGGGGTAGGGTGAGGACGGCTCAGCAAGCTAAACCCCCTGAGAAACACCTACCTGTCCCAATCCCTCCGGAGACCAGATACTCTGTGCTGGTTCCCATAACTGTAGACACAGTCGGAATAAACAAACAGCTGGAAACAGAAAAGCATCTCAGATCATTGAACCACAAACCAACTTCTGGCCATGACATCTCCCCTCTGTCCCTCTGCAGGGACCTCACTCCCTCTTACACCATGAGGACAGAAAGCAGCTGATGCTGTTACAAGGGCCCTGGGAAATTAATAAAGTGCATTCCAAGCATAAGGAAACGTGTTGTACCCATAGCCTTCCACGGACATGTCAAATTCCACAAACGATGGAGCCAGAGCCGCCTTCTGAGGCTGCAGGTTGCGCGGGGAGGTCATGGAGATGAGGCTGAGTGAAGTCTGAAGGGCAGTGGTTGAGCCCTCAGACGTCCTCGAGGATCTGAGGGCCTGTGTGACTGCTGAGCAAGGGCCGGCTCCTGGGGCAGCTCCTCCAGGACCCTCAGCAGTCCCTGCTTCTGCAGCCTGGGACCCTAAGGCAACATGCAAGAGAAGAGACATGTCCCTGTTCAAGCATATCTGCTCTTCTGACAACAGCCTCGATGCTTCTGCCACAGCCCTGAAGGAGGGCTCCACAGTGTCACAGCACTTCCTGACCCCTGTGAAGCAGCTCTCTACTGACTTAGTAACCCTGAACTGCAGCAACACTACGTCCCTCCTCGAAACTTCTTTTCCCTTAATTCCATCATTCCCCAGAAACCCCCAGCTTTCCAGCGCACCATTTTCTGTTGCCATCATTGGCTTGCCCCACTGGCCGTCGCTCACTGACACTTTGTCCTGGCTCCCTGAACTCCCCGCTCACAGCAGCCTGTCTCTTTGAAAGCTCTGCTCCCCTCCCCTGATTGCTAGGACCAGCTGAATCTCCATCCATGTTCTTCAATTATGTGATCCACACTCAACCTGCCCATAGCTTTCTATTCTTTAAGCCGGTCCCTGGAGTCAGCAGCCTCCCAAGTACCAGGACTGATACTAGGGGACCCACCCAATGCTTTGGCCTCTTGACTGCCCAACTGTCCCCTGAGCTGTGAGCTGTGCAAAAAACCATCACTGGCACCTCCATCCAGGTGCAGCTCTGGGTATTCTAGCATGCACTGTATCATGAAGGAAACCCTATCGCTCTTTCCATGATCTGGGACCAAAGGGGCCAAGGGCACACTCAGCATCACCTGTCTTATATGAGGATGGGGGTCATCCTTTTCCTTCCAGATCTGGCCTTTCTCCAGGGACCACCAATCCTGCTTTTCCTCATTTGCTCCACTGAGCAGCAGGCAATACCATTTTTTAAATCTGTCTGCTTCCCACCTGTTGTGAAGGCTCCCTTCTAAGGAATGCATATTCTTTTTAATTCCCATTAACCTGTTCCTGTTCTTTCCTCCGTCCTCACCTGAGCCTCCAGAGTCCCCTCCATGGACACAAGATGAATGGAGGATTTTCGCTGCAGCTGACGGAGGTGGGGGAACTCCAAGACCTAGAAACTGTCTAAGCATCAGAACATGCAAGAGAAACAAAATGAAGACCTTTTATGAACAGAAGTGTTCTCCAGCTTCATCCGAGCACTTTCCCAAATCCCAGTGCTCCCTGATGCCCTCCTCCACTTTCTTTCTCTCTGTTTGGAAAGCGTTTCTTTAAGCCATGCAGAAACAGAGGGAGACTGGCTTGGCACCCAGACCACAGAGCTGGTGCCTTTAGGTGTCTTTGACCAGCTAGCAGCCTCAAACCAGATTTGGAAGAGAGAAGAAGGAATTTGTCCTACTCCGTTTTGTGTCTGCTCCATTTGTCTGCTCTGTGCCTCTCCCTCCTGCTCAGCTTTCCAGGCACCAGGTGGCTTCATGGACGGGCTGCCGGCAGGAAGGCTCCCATAGGATACAAGGGAGCACCGCTTCTGTCCCTCTCTCTGTCGGGAGTCTCGGCCACTGCTTGTCACACCAGCCTGGCTCCTACAGCCTCACCCCTTGAGCAGTGAAGCCCTCACAGCCCCTGCCCCTCTCAGTTCCCGTAGCTTTGGCATTATCCACTGAGCATCCCCCACCATGCGATTCTGTGCTGTCTGCAGGACCCTCTGAAGGGTCCCCTCTCTCCGAAGACCACAGCTCCACGGGAGGGGCTATGTCTGCTTTGTGGGTCTCTGCACTGCCTGCATGCACCCGGGGTTCCTCCTGGACTCGCGCTGTCCAATACTGGGAAGGGCCACACCCTGCACAGAGGGGGTGCAGGAGGGGGCATGGGGACACCTGTCCCGTGTACTCTTACTGTCCACTGGGCCTGAGCACAGCTGCCAGCAGCTCAGCAGTGTTTAATGTGCGGCACATGGTACCTTAACACGTCTGGTTCGATGGCTTGGGAGGCAAGTTTTTCAAAAATCCTGATGAGGCCTGAGTGCAAGGGGCTGGTGCTGGTGGTCAGGGCCCTGCGGCAGGAGACCACGAGGGTCCTAAGCATCCCCGCCTCACACATGACCTGACGGTTCTTCTCCGATTTCACCAGGGACTGGATATGACTGGCCACGGAGCACTGGATCTCCTGGGAAAGCTAAGAGAGCAAAAGCAAACAGTGAGCCCTGGAGGTCGGGACATTTTGTGGGCAACTTTGATGGGCCCCCAACCAGGCCCCAAACTGATGTGGGGCCAGACGCCTGCACCCACACAGCCTGTTCTAACTGTACTCTATATCGGGGGTTCTCAGATGTGCCCACTTCTCGTGCAATGGGAACCCCAGAGGCTGGTCTGTGGGAGGATGGGGGCCACTGAGGTCAGCTGCCAAAGACATAGAGGCTTAAAACGGAGACTGCGAGCCGGCCAGCAAGAGGCCGCATCTGCCCCAGAGACGCGGTGTCTGCCTCGCGCGATGTTTAAGCAGTTTCTGAATTAATTGCTAACATTTAAACAACCAGGAATTTCACATAAAAGTCCAGACACATGGCTCCTTTCGAAAGGTAGGAAGATCGGGGTCAGACAGGTTTGCAGTCCTGGGCAGTGGCTGAGCCTCTGAAGGGTCCCATGCCCCCACAGCCTTCGCTCACAAAGCAGCCCTGTGTTTGAGGTTGTACCCCCGGCACAGAAAGTGCAGTGCCCCGGGGAGGCAGGCCCACAGGCAGTGCCCACGCAGACTGGCTGTGGCCGGACCAGGCCACGCTCAGCGCCCACGCCAGCTCAAGTCACCGCTCCTGTGAACTGCTCCCCGACGCCGGCCCTCAGCCCCTGATTGTCACTACCCCCCGCCCCCATGTGCCTTCCCACTGTCCTTCGTCCATCTCTCAGACACGGATAGTGGTGCTCTTATCTTACCCTTACTACTTTTCCAGTCCCTTCAGTATCTTTATGTCCCTGAGGCCCGCAGAAGAGAGCGCACAGGGTCAGCTCAGTGAATATTTGAGCCAAATACATGGTTTCCGCAATCTTCCTTTCTTTTCTTCGTCAAAAAATAAACGCCTGAAATTCCCAGCCCTCTGTAGTGATGCAGACAGTCTGGGGTGGGGGTGGAGAGGGAGAAATTCCTCTACAAAAACTCTCAGGGCTGCCCACACTCTCTTTTACTGTTGTATACGATATTGTCTGAAGTGAGAGGGATACCAGTTAGAACGTAATGGAATTTTCCTGCAGTGGATGCTATGGGAGCCTCCCCCAGACCTCCTTTTCCAGATGAGTGTACCCATCATAGCCATGCCTTCTCTAGAGGGCTGCCCTTCCCCAACTGGGAGCTGCCCTGTCCAGGGGCAATGTGCCCCCCCATATATGTTCACTCATGCATATATACTCAAAAGTGTATGCACACGTGGACACACAGGAGCATCCATGCGTGTGTGTGTGCATGCATGCACATGTATATACATGCCCACGGAGCCATATATATGTGTACATGCATATGTGCACACGCTCACACGCATGCATGCAAACACACACACATCCACATACCACGTGCACATGCGTGCACACACACACATGCCAGACTACAGCCGTGAGGTCATGGCTTCTGCCTCGGTGGTGCAGTTCATGCCTGAAAGCCCCGCCCTGTGGGCTCAGGCTGATGCTGGACTTCAGCTAATCCTCACTCAGCTTCTTCCCCTGTATCATCCTGCTTCCTTCACTCCCCTTTCCTTGAATCCCTCCCTTGATGGATCTGATGTACCTGTGCCCCTGCCTTGGGCTCCACTTCTGAGGAACCCTACCTGAGGCCCTAGCATGCTTTATATATTGCACACCCTTGGCCAAGTTTCAAGAAAGGGGTCTCAAGAAAGGGGATCTCTGACAACACAGATCATGTCTAGGTTAGTCCACCAGTGTAAAGCCAGGAGTAACCACAAAGGCACTAATTTGAATAATCTCTTTCTAACGATGACTGGCTTCTCCTCCCATCAAGTCACAGACCATCTGATATGTACACCCACTCCCCCAACCATGAAAGCTTTCTTGGGAGTCCTTCGCCGCTTGCCCTTCTTCCCCCTCTGCCTCAAACAAGTATTAATGGCTTCTTCAACGTCAGGCTCTGGCTAAATTTCAAGATTAACAAAACACTGTCCCCGCTCTCAAGGGAATCACAGGCTACAGGCAAGACGGGTGAGGGGGACAATCTGAGTACAGTAAGAAAAGGAGCTGTAGCAGAGGATTTACAGTGGCTGGGTGGGAGCGGTTCCCTGCAGCCCCTCGTGCATTTCGCGGAGCTCTTGGATCTAGAAGGGAATCTGAGCCTGGCATCTACTGTGGGGGCCACATTTTGCTCTGAGATGAGTATATTTCCTGGGTGTCCAGGATGTGCCAGGCTCTAGTCTAAGCATTTTGACATGTATAGATTATATAATCCCCGTGAACAACCCTATGATGGAGGTACTATTACTCTCCCCATTTTACAGATGAGGAAACTGAACCCAGAGAAGTTCATTGTCCAGGCTGCATGGTAAGGCAGGGCCTGGCTTTGATCCCAGACCCCATGCTCAGGATCACCTCACTTCCCATCTCCTCCTCACATGTGCAGTGATTTGGGACCACCCTGCCCACGGTGATCAAGACTATGTTTGTATCACTAAGGGACTGAAATTAATAAGATGGCACTCTTCCACAGGCCTCAGACACCGCTTAGTAGCATATATGTTTCAAGGATTAAACTGTATTTGGGACACATATTTACACTGTTTATCATCAGTTCTTAGATTTAAAAAAAAAAAATGAAGGGGTCACACAGCTCACCCTCTACCTTCCTCTCTTCTTCCCAGGAGCACATCGCTAGAGCTCCTGCCACAGACTGATGGCATTTAGTGAAATTTCTGTCTTTACCCTATCTTCAGTAATACTTCCAACTTAAAATTTTAGGCCATTTTCATTTTAGTTTAAAATTTAAACTACATTAGAATGTTTTTTCAGGGGGATTGCTCCCAGGCAAGATTTTGTCACTCTGAAATGAAGTGTCATCCTGTTGCCAACATCACTGATGCCAAAGGAAGATATCATTGCGGGAAGATGGTGTCTGTAATGGGCTGGATGCCTGTGTCCCCAGAATCCATATGCTGAGCCCTAATTTCCAATGTGATGTATTTGGAGGTGGGGCCTTTGGGAAGTGATTAGGTCACGAGGGTGGAGCCCTCATGAATGGGATTAATGCTTTTATAAAAGGGACCCGGGAGAGCCTTCTTTTCCCTTGTGCCGTATAAGGACACAGTAAGAACAGGGCCATCCATGAGGAAGTGGGCCCCCACCAGACACTGAATCTGCCAGCGCCATGCTTTTGGACTTCCGGCTCCAGAACTATGAGAGAAATAAATTCTTGTTGTTTATAAGCCACCCCGTCTATGGTATTTTCTTATAGCAGCCTATATGGACTGAGACGATCCCTTCCCTGTCACTGCAGTATTAACACAGCCGGCGTAAACTGGGAGAGGCAATGTGTAGCCCAAAAGGGACCAGAGACAGAAGGGAGAAATGCCAAAACTCATTTGCGCTAAATAATTCCATCACTTTCACTTTAAGGAGCTCCTCCTCGTGGAAATCTGCCCAACCTCCTTAACTCCCTTCCCCAGACCTTTCCTCTGCAATTTTCAGTGTCTCTCCCTGCATCCCACAGGGTGTGCACCTCGGCCTTTCCTCTTCTCCGTTCCTCTCAGAACCAAAAGGGAGCCTCCACCTCCCCTTGCCTTGAAGTTTCCTTCTCCCAGAATCTGGATTATTTGGAATCTGTAGTCTTTTAATTTGGGGTGAAAATTGGGGAGACAGTCCGTATGAAGCAAGATGTAAAAATACCTCGCAGTGTATTATTAATAAAAATTAAAAATAAATGTCTACAATCTCCGGTTTTATTACCAGCACTTCACTTATTGCTTCAGGGACTTTTGGCTTTCTTTTGTTGTTGTTGTTTGCTTTTTTCTTCTTTATCCACCAGAGAAAAGCTACTTAAAATCTAAATACACAAAAAAAGGAAAAGCAGAAAGAAAGAAAGAAAGAGAGAGAAGAAAGAAAGAAAGAAAGAAAGAAAGAAAGAAAGAAAGAAAGAAAGAAGGAAAGGAGGAAAGACACAGAAGTTTTCGAAAGGGAGAAATGCTGATCTTGTCTAATGATGCCACAAGTTTACTCCAAAATTGCTCAATACCCCATAATGGAGGAGGGAAAATTGATCGTCCTCATTATCACTGCAGCTCTGTCAATAACAATATTGCCTCGTTTTGAATAAAATGTGCTGGTTTTTTCAATGTTGGTTCCAGTAAAAATGGGGTTTTAGTGAAAATATGAGCAGTAGCAGGAAGCCAGTCTGGTTTCTCCCCCTCCAAATGGATTGATTTTCCTAACGCATATTATTTCCAATGGAGGCTAGGGGGTGGTGGTTCAATTAGGACTCCATGGTGGCTGCGCAGGGTCACCAGGCTGGCCGGCAGGCTGGACCCCCAAGGTAAATTATCACAGAGCAATTTGTGGGACAGCCTTTAGGAGTGTTTTACTTTATCCACTTAACAGTCAAGCCTTCAAGTCTACCCTTGTCTAGCTGTGGATGTTCACTCTTCTTCATCTCTCTCTCTCCCTCACTTTCTCTCCTGGTCCAGATTAATAAGGTCCCAGAGCCCAAGGAGGGCTGGGTCCTGGTGGGGTGGGTTCCTCCAAGGCTTTGGGCACATCAGTCCATGGTGTATCCTGACGTAGATGTAAAAGCCATCAGATGACCACACGTGCTTCCCCCGGACACTTGAAAGAACAGGGAGTTCTACTGAACTACTCAAATTGGGATTGGTTGCTTATTCCAATTTGGTTGAAATGTTCTTTGATGATTTTGGAAAAGACATGATCTAATTTAAGTGACCTCAGCTCTTCAGAGATATCACAGGGAAGTAGGGCCCACAGATGGGTTTCATCTGACAAGCTGTTATCTTTGCTTACTTAGAATTAGTTCTTTCTATATATGGGTATAAACTTTCCCTTTCGCCACAGCCTGATAGATTCATTTGTGGTGTCCACGTGGCCTTATAAGTGTGGGAGTTTGTGGTCCTGGCTTATGTGTAAGAAGTCCAAGTAGCACCAAAATCAGTAGAAACCATGTCTGAAGGCACTTTCATT